GAGACCCTCCCGCCCCCGCTCACAGCCCCCTCCTGACGAGTCTGAGAGACAAGGGAGGAACGGAGGGCTGGGAGCTGCATGGACGACGCTCCAGGAGCCGCTGCCTGTGCGTGTTGTGAAACCCTGCCCCGAGCTGGCTTGTTTCTCAAGTCCTGCCTCAATAATCCAAACAACAGTGACCTCATTCCAGAAACTGCCTTCCCCACGAGGACTTGGAAAGCTTTACGTTTCAACTAGCTGTTGCTTTAAAGTGAAGGGAGAAGGGAGGCTCGCCGGGGACGTGATGGAAAAAAGCGTCAAAATGGCCTGTTCCAGTGGTCGGCAAACACATTAGTCAACAGAGCCAAATGTCAACAGAACGACGACTGAGATTCCTTTTGAGAGCCAAATTTTTTAAACTTAAGCTTCTAATAACGCCACTTCTTCAAAAGAGACTCGCCCAGGCCATGGTATTTTGTGGAAGAGCCACAATCCAGGGGCCAAAGAGCCGCAAGTGGCTCACGAGCCGTCGTTTGCCAACCATGGGCCTAGTGGACGATGGAGTAAAATAACTGAACTTCTGGTGCTTCTTAGGATATAACAGTATAAGGTGGTTTTGGGGGAAGGGGAACAAGACACAAAACTGTACAAGGCCACAGACACACTAACTTCAAAAAAAGTTCAGAAGGAAAAAGACTAACCCTTAAAGCACGAGTGATGGAATTGTATCTTTCTCCTCTTCAGAACATTCCAGACCCAAAAAGGAGCCCCCACTAGCTAGTCATGCTCTTGACTGTGCACATGCGAACCAGTGAGGGCGACAGAAGTTCCTAATCTGGCTCACCAGGTGGCCCAATCAGTCCGGTCACCAAGGCAACAGAATGACCACACATCATCCTTCAACTTCCTGGTATTTTTCCATTTTCTTTAAGAATGTGCATGGCAGCTGAAACTGGTTTGGCTCAGTGGATCGAGCATCGGCCTGTGGACTGAAAGGTCCCAGGTTCGATTCCGGTCAAGGGCATGTACTTTGGTTGTGGGCACATCCCCCATAGGGGGTGTGCAGGAGGCAGCTGATGGATGTTTCTCTCTCATCCATGTTTCTAACTCGCTATCCCTCTCCCTTCCTCTCTGTAAAAAAAAATCAATAAAATATATTTTAAAAAGAAGAAGAAAAAAAGAATGTGCATGGTGTTCCCAGTGTGTGTGTGGGGGATGGGAGTGGGGTGGGGGTGGGGGAAGACACTACATGTTAGCAACCCCGGAAGTTAGTGACTTGAAGCATCGTGCATGGGGGACCAGAAAGGTTTCTCGAACCTCTGTGTCTCCACGGCAGAGCTGCACGGAGGAAGCGGGGAGCGAGAGCACGAGGCTGACAGCCCAGAGGGCAAGACTAACTCGGAACTGTGTGTTCAGTAGCAAAAGAGCTGCACTCCCACTGAGCTATAGACGAGACAATTCCTGTTTCCAAAGTGACGAGGTCTCACTAAGGAGGCCACGCAGGCCTCATCCAGCACCCGCCCTTCACCTCCAGCTGGGGGCCCGTTCAGTCACATCGAAGAGGGAGAGGAGGCCTCTGAATGCATGGGACGGGCCGTTTCCTGCTCAGCCCCAGGCCAGGCCCTGTAGTATCTACGCCTCCTTCAATTCTCAAAGAAACGAGAGGTGTTGGCCACGTTAAGGACAGCAGAGCCGAGTCCAGGACAGCCCGCGCAGTGGGCGGATAAACTGTGGGGACAGAGTGTGCGTGTCACTACCTCGGGAGCCCTGGCTCCCGGGCAGTGCGGATGGCAGTGTGGACACAGCGGCCTCCGGATGAGGACCTGTCAGAGGATTATTCCTGGCTCCTGGGGGGAAAGCAGTGACAGTTCTGTGAAAATATTTGCTAAAATGTTTAAAAACAAAACAAACACTGCTGAAAGCCAACTGCAGACACTGCCAGGCTTCCGGGAGAGTTTATGGGAGCTGCTCAGGGGCTGGGACTCCAGCCCCGGAGGACTCTTAGGCAAGCCAGAGACTTACAGGGGGACTTGGGGTGGGGGGAGGTGCGCCCCCCCCCCATCAGAGAGGGAAGCTGGCCCCCCCACCACTCCCACAACAGCAACTGCAGCTCCCAGAGCTGTGTGGCACTGACTCTCAAGGGAGTCGGGGGTCAGCGTGCCCTCGTTTTAAGCCAGGCGATGAGCTCGGTGCTTCCTCTACATTAGGGGTGTTGAACTCAATCAGAGAAGGGGCCAAAATCTAAAATCCAGCCTAAATCGCGGGCCGAATGGTTTACTGAACAGTCATAAACTGTCATTGTGATGGAAACGCAGCGGAGTGCAGTGATGACAGCGCGGTGCGGGCCACATTGCAAGGCCTGGCGGGACGGATTTGGCCCGTGGGCCTTGTGTTTGACACATGTGCTTTACATCCTCCTGTGCTCAGAACAACTCCGTGTGCAGGTGGCCCAGCAGCACGTGGTATTACTGGAATTAGAGCCAGGTCTGCCTGATCCTAAGCACGTTTTCTGCTAACCCTGCCGGATCCAGCCAGTTACTCCAATCCATCATCCCTGGACGGGGGGAGTGGGCCCCTGTTGCCTGTTCAGCACATCAAACCCTAATAGTTCTGTGGCACTCCCGTGTCCTGCACTTTCTGGAGCAGCTCCAACTTTGGAACATGTTGGTCCCACTGCACCCATGGGTGCGCTCATGTGTGTCTCACAGTGTGGTCAGCCCTGGGAGGCCTCACTTGCTGACCCACAGCTGTGCAGCCCACAGCACTGGCTTCTTCCACCCACAGGGACAGCGCATGTATACGCTGTGACTGGCTTCACGTATCTGTGCTTCACCTCCCCTGCTGCACTCCAAGTTCCTTTCAGAGCAACGCTTCCCGACTGGGAGGCCATTCTCGGGAAGGATTCCTGGAGACAATCAAGTACACACGGAATACACAACAGGACCCACAGCAGATGACACTGAGTCCCACCTACAACTGCTCTGCTTCCTCTGTGTGCAGTGGCCTTGTGTGGGGTGGATGGCCCTCTGGAGACATGACCCTACACCAGTGGTCGACAAACTGCGGCTCGCAAGCCACATGTGGTTCTTTGGCCCCTTGAGTGTGGCTCTTCCACAAAATACTACGTGCGGGCGCGCACATACAATGCGATTGAAACTTCATTGCTCACGTGCAGAAGCCGGTTTTCGGCCCTCAAAAGGAATTTCAATCCTGTACTGTTGGTATTTGGCTCCGTTGATGAATGAGTTTGCCAACCGCTGGCCTAGACGACTGTCTCATCGGCATACAACTCCCAGAATGGGAGCTGCCCAATTGTAATCCCACTGGAGTCCATGAGAAGTCTTAGGCCCAGATTTAAAAACCCAAGTGCTCAAACGTGACACAATAAAAACTTGGCTGGACTGAACTTCAAACAAAACTTAAGAGTTTCAAATGCTGGTAGTCAAGTTACAAACAAGCTCAACGGTATAATGTGACCGTCGAACAGAGAAGTGAAGGTGTTGCTAGGACGTGCTGATGGCAGTGGCCTGGACAGACCGCAGGAAGCCAACGTCCCGCGGAGCCCCGGGCCGAGCCCCGTTACGCAGAAGGACAAACACCGCGCCTGCGGCCAGGAAGCACGCAGCACAGAACGACAGAGCCCTCCCGCAGAGGCCTGGAGGCGGGCAGAGGAACATACAGACTCTCCAGATGTTCGACAGGCGGTCACGTGGAGAGAGGATCCTAGGGGTGTCGAACTCAATCAGAGAAGGGGCCAAAATCTAAAATCCAGCCTAAATCGTGGGCCGAATGGTTTACTGAACAGTCATAAACTGTCATTGTGATGGAAACGCAGCGATGACAGCGTGGTGCGGGCCACATTGCAAGGCCTGGCGGGACGGATTTGGCCCGCGGGCCTTGTGTTTGACACATGTGATCTAGACTGTAAGCCATTGGGGAAGAGTAACTGAGGAACAATTTTTTGTTCAATATAAGAAGCTTTCGCCGAAACCGGTTTGGCTCAGTGGATAGAGCGCTGGTCTGCGGACTGAAGGGTCCCAGGTTCGATTCCAGCCAAGGGCACATACATTGGTTGCGGGCACATCCCCAGTGGCGGGTGTGCAGAAGGCAGCTGATGGATGTCTCTCTCTCATTGATGTTTCTAGCTCTCTATCCCTCTTCCTTCCTCTCTTTAAAAATCAATAAAACATATTTTAAAAAAAGAAGCTTTCAAACCATGTGGGAGGCAGAACATGGCCTCCCACAGATGTCCATGGCCTCACCCCCAGAGCTGCGTCTGTGTGACCGGACGTGGTAAAAAGGGCTTTGCAGCTTCGTGACTAAGTCACGGACCTGGAGGTGGGAGGCTTTCCTGGATGACCCATTTAGCAGGGAGGCAGGCGCGTCAGGGAAACGTGGCATCTGGGGGCGCTGCACCGCTTGCTGTGGAACTGGAGGCGGGAGCTGCAGGCCCGGGAATGCTGGTGGCTCCCGAAAACCAGGAGAGGTGGGAGTGGACTCTCCCCCAGGGCCGCTAGGAGGAACGCAGCCCTGCCCACACCTGGATTGTAGTTGAGCGGCACCCATCTCCGACTCCTGACTTCCAGAACTGTAACAGGATAAACCCGTGGCATCTTCAGTCACTAAGTTACTGGTAACTTGTTGAAGCGGCGATCAGAGATGAATGCAACAGCCAACACGGGACTAACCACGACCAGCCGCAGTGAGCTCCCCGTCCCAGGAGGCAACCAAGAAGAGGCGGAACACCCACCTGCCAGGAACGCTGCGCAGGCAAGTTCTGGGTGAGCCGTGACAGATGCCTCCGACGCTGAGAGCCCACATCATGGGGCGGCACCTTCTCCTGCTTTGGTCTTTGACGCGCTGGTCCCCACCCCCTGGACTGGTGGTGGGCAAGGCTTGCCCTGCTGCCTCCCAGGAGGACAGGGTAGTATAGTCAGGGACAGGCATGCTTTGAGGGATGTCCTCACAGCACCGGGTACGGGGCCTGCCTCAGAGCGGAAGTGCTTGCCCGGGGCGCCTACCTGAGCAGAGGACGCCTCTGTTCCGGGCGCAGGAGAAGTTGTCGCACTCGCAGAAGGGCCCGTAGATCCGCCCGAACTCGCTCTCGAAGCAGGAGCACTGGCTGCAGCTGCACTGCCCGCGGCCGCTGCACAGCGGCTTGCCCTCCGCCTCGCGGCACAGGTTCTGCAGCCCGCTCGGGTTCTCCCCCTCCTGGCACTCGCACCGGCTGCCCAGGTAGCTGGGGTTGCACTCGCACAGGCCGCAGACGTAGGTCCCGTTCCCGCTGCACCGGGGGCTGTCCGGCTCCTGCCCCGCGCTGCAGCCGCAGCTGCAGCTGTAGGTGACCCCCACCGCCAGGCTGTCCCGGAACCCCACCGGCCGCAGGGCGAACGTGTGCTCCGCGTGCTTGCCCGGGCAGCTCCGCGCCTCCACCGACACTTCAAAGGAGGCCTGGGCAGAAGGAAGAGAGGGGGCGTCGAGGGCGCGGTCAGTCAGGGTATCTTCTCCGGCCTGCCTATCACCCAGGGCCCCCCCCACCCCGGGAGCGGTTCCTCTGAGGCAGTGGTTCTCAGCCTTTCTAATGCCGCGACCCTTTAATGCAGTTCCTCATATTGGGGTGACCCCAACCATAAAACTATTTTAGTTGCTACTTCATAAGTGTCATTTTGCTACTGTGATGAACCGTTTAATGTAAATATCTATTTTCCGATGGTCTTGGGCTCTATTTTAGTTGCTAAAATTATTTTAGTTGCTACTTCGTAACTGTCATTTTGCTACTGTGATGAATCGTAATGTAGATATTTATTTTCCGATGGTCTTAGGCTCTACAGCAGCGGTTCTCAACCTGCGGGTCGTAAATATCTGTTTTCCGATGGTCGCGACCCACAGGTTGAGAACCGCTGCTGTAGAGCCTAAGGCCGTCGGAAAACACAGATATTTACGTTATGATTCATCACAGTAGCAAATCACAGTTATGAGGTAGCAATGAAAATAATTCTATGGTTGGGGGGTCATTAAAAAGGTTGAGAACCACTGCTCTGAGGCCTCCGGGGAGAGCTGTGGCTACGCCTGGCCCTGCCCATGCACATGGCCCCGGAGGAAAAGGCCCAGGACAGCAAACTCTGGCACGTTTGCCAGGCATGGTGCTTGGTCCTGAGCGTTCGTGATCTCTTTTAATCCTCATGACTCTGAGGAAATGGCTCCACAGGAAAGGAGAAAGACTCACGCAAGGGTTCTTTCCTCCCCTTTCTCTTCACCTGTCTCCTATCCTCTCTCCAGCTCCGTTCTGGAAATCTGCACCAGGCACTGCGTCACATGTTCCCTGAACGCAGGGGGGCCCCGGGGCCCCACAGACCCCTCTGAAGAGAGGTTTCCTCCTGCTGGAGGAGGGACAACGGGAGGCCCCCTCCTGGGGATCGAGCCTGCAACCCGGGCATGTGCTTCAACTGGGAAATCAAACGGTGATCTCCTGGTTCAGTGGTCGGCAAACTCATTAGTCAACAGAGCCACATATCAACAGAACGACGACTGACATTTCTTTTGCCAAAATTTTTAAACTTAAACTTCTTCTAACGCCACTTCCTCAAAATACACTTCCCTAGGCCATGGTGTTTTGTGGAAGAGCCAAAGAGCAGCATGGGGCTCGAGAGCCACGGTTTGCCGACCACTGTCCTGGTTGATGGGTCAGTACTCAACCACTGAGTCACACGGGCAGGGCCAGGCTGCTTCTTTTTAAACAAAGCATGTAAAGAAGCATTGCTAACCCCTAAGCTTCTTATGCATTGCCCTGGAATCAGGCAGCAATGGGAGGAAAGCAAGGGCACTGCTTGGTGTGATTCTCCCAGAAAGTAGAGCACAACTCTTCCACTGCCCTCCTCCCACTGAGAACAGAGCCATGTGTGGTTATATTCATCCAGCACTGCCCTCGGAGCAGGGCACTGTGGAAATCCAGACCGGGATCTGGCACACCCTGACCAAATACCATCTGCAGTGCTTCTCCCTGAATGGTGGTGCTTCTCCCCTGCATGGTGGTGGTTCCTACACACACAGAGGCCCGGGCCCACTCCAGAAACTGTCTCACCATGTCTGGCCCAGGTGTCTTTATTTTTCAAGTCTCCACAAATCATTCTGAAGTTCAAATGGGTTAGCATCACCTTTAATGACTGTTATTTTTTAAAAATATATATTTTATTGATTTTTTTTTACAGAGAGGAAGGGAGAGAGATAGAGAGCCAGAAACGTCGACGAAAGAGAAACATCGACCAGCTGCCTCTTGCACACCCCCTACTGGAGATGTGCGGGCAATCAACGTACATGCCCCTGACCGGAATCCAACCCAGGACCTTTCAGTCCGCAGACTGACGCTCTACCACTGAGCCAAACCGGTCTTGGCAAATGATTGTTATTCTTAAATCTGTTATTTGGGCTGAAATACAGCCGAGTTTTTAAAAGTCACCAATAACTTGCTTTACAGGGCACTCTTTAGGTGATGATGTGTACTTCTGGAGAACATGGAACGTATTTTTTTCTAAATGTTCTACAGATCCCTATCACTTTTGGATCTTAGTCTAAAAAGCTTCCCTTCAGATACTGTGACATCTAGGGACACCCGGGGGAAGGGAGTGAGGGTGGGGGTGTGAAAGACTGAAGAGGAAGACAGACCCAGCTGTCTAGGTCCTGGAGACAGTCCTGCTGGGCAGCCAGGCACAGCTTCGGGGAACTCACAGCAGACACCCAGGAGTCCGCATTAGCCAAAGGGGGTCACAGGTGACAGTGAGTGAAGGACTGTGACCAGGAGCCAGGGTCAGAGGACACTGGGAACGCAAGCCAAGTAGCCAAGTGCAGACAGTGGGGACTAGCCCTCCCTCGTGTGTGTGTGTGTGTGTGTGTGTGTGTGTGTGTGTGTGTGTGTGTGTGGGGGGGGGGGGAATAGAGATTGTCAAAAGCAAGTTCAAGACTAAGTTCTAAGGCCCTGAGGCACAGTAACAAGATGGGGACCCACCAGGCAGTGAGATCTGCCTCTGACAACACACACTAACAGTGCCCAGGTGCCAAGCGCCCACTGTGCAGGCACTTCCGTGAGCAGTTCACTCACATGCCCCCGAAGGAGACATTCTCATTTACCAGAGATAAAAGGGGTCTCCCAGCTGGGGAGAGGCGGGCCTGTGCTCGCCTTAGCATGTCACCTCCCACAAATGGGAATGAGACAGGTGCCCTGTGTCCACGCCTGGGTACAGAGGGAGAGGCAGCCTGGCTCACTGTGGAGACGAGAGGGTGACCCCACCCCAGGGCCAGCGGCTCCTCCAAACCTTCCTGCCTGGCTCAGGATGACCCGGGCCTGCCGGTGAGAAGGGCGGGGAGCCTGCGCCGGACCGAAGCCTCCACGGGGACAGGGAGCACGCGGAGGTGGACTCCCCGCTCCCGAAGCTCGCTCGGGGAGAGGCTGTGGCGTGCTCCGGGGCCTGCTCCCCAGGGCTGCGCTTTGCTGCACGTGTTACGTGAAGAGCCCCACCCCCACAGGCATCCGTGGGTCAGAAGTGGAATCAACTACAAAGGGGCGACCTGGACCAGCAGACGGAGGCATTTAATTACCGAGCCTGGGGGAGTGTCCATCTGTGGGCATCACCTCCCCCAGGAAGTCTTACCTGTATCATGGGTCACAGTAGCGAGAGGGAAGGAGGGAAGGAGGGAGGGAGAGAGGGAGGGAGGGAGGGAGAGAGGGAGGGAGGGAGGGAGACAGAGAGAGAGAGAGAAGGAGAGAATGAAATGCTAATGTGTCTGTGTTTGCTGGGAGTGAGAGGTGAGGGGAGCCCAGGATTTAAAAAAGCTCTCACCACGGCTGTCTGGCTGGGGAGCAAGGAGGACCCAGCCTTCAAGCAGGTCCAGTGGCCTTCATGCAGCCGCCCCCCTCTGCCCGCCATGACCACAGAACGGCTGCTCCAGCCCCTGGTGCTGCTGGGCACAGGAATGCTATAAAAGCACTAGGGAGTAGTAAGTAAACCGGTTCTGCAGCCCTCCCTTTCAGAGCCCATTTCTCCAGGGGAACAGGAAAGAAACCGGAGTCTGGCAAGCGTCTTCCCTGGTTAAGACGGATTCGACTCCCCATTCTCCCACGCGGAGACCGGAGGGGAAGGTCAGGGACAGAGCAGCCCTCCCTCCCGCCCCGTCCTGTTATTCAGCCCTCATTGGGATGCTCCTGGTTCCTCAGCGGGGCGGCTGGTCTGACCCACTCTTTCAAACGGGCCACCCAGCCCCCACCCCAAACCCACCCGCCCAGGGCTGCCGTGCCCAGCCCACCAGGAGCTCAGGGAAACTAAGTGCCGGGTGGGCACAGGGCACAAAGCCCAGAGGAGGGACAGGAACGGGACGCCGCGGGCAGCTCACTGGGCCCTTTGTACTGGGCGCTAGTGCTCACTGCACAGGCTGCTCGCATGCTGCTTTGTCAAGGCCAGTCCATGAGAAACCGACTCCCACGGCTGGGCCTGTCAGTCTGTCCTGGTTCGTGTTGGGATGAGGGGAGGAAAACCAGGGGGAAATCCGAAGCCCCTGGAGAAGAGCACCTCATTGGACTGGGGGCTTTCAAGGTCTTATTTATGTAACTAGAGGCCTGGTGCGGGGAGGGGGGGAGGGGTTGTGTCCCTCAGCCCAGCCTGCACCCTCTCCAATCTGGGACACCTCGAGGGATGTTCAACTGCCCATTTAGACCCGATCCAACTAGGATCGGGTCTAAATGGGCAATTGGACATCCCTCTCACAATCCAGGACTGCTGGCTCCCAACTGTTTGCCTGCCTGCTTTCCTGATTGCCCCTAACCGCTTCTGCCTGCCAGCCTGATCACCCCCTAACCACTCCCAGGCCAGCCTGATTGATGTCTAACTGCTCCCCTGCTAGCCTGTTCGCCCCCAACTTCCCTCCTCTGCCAGCCTGGTCACCCCTAACTGCCCTCCCCTGCAGGGTTGACCTCTCCAACTGCCCTCCCTCGCAGACCTGGTGCCTCCCAACTGCCCTCCCTTGCTGGCCATCTTGTGTCCACATGGGGGCAGGATCTTTGACCACATGGGGGCAGCCATCTTGTGTGTTGGAGTGATGGTCAATCTGCACATTACTTTTTTGTTAGATAGGATATCTCTCTTTGAGGACTTCCTTGTCCCTCACCCCTGCCCAGCCACCGTGATATTGGGAGCATTGCAAATTCCCACGAGACGGTAACTCATGTTATTCCCTCCATGATGAGGCAGGATTAGTGAGATGAGCCAGTCAGGAATGGAAAGACTGTGGGTTGAGTTGTTGCAAGTCCACTGCTTGTCCGCTGGGCGGTCTTGGGCAGGTCATCACACCCCCGAATCCCGGCTGCTGGCAGCAATGGGGGCAGCACCCGATCCCCTCCTGAGCCGCCGGTGAGTGGAAGGACTGCAAAGTCACTCCATCAACCGGGGACCCTGAATGGAGGCCCCGTTCTTCGTTATCGTACTTTGCTCTGAGACGAGCCCTTTGAAATGGGCACGAGAGAGCAGATTCGCGGGCACCAAAGGCCCGGTAAAGGTGCTGTCAGAGAGCCCTGGCTTTGAACGTTCACTTTGCTACTTACTGGCTGTGGTGCGCTGAGCAATTAGTTCAATTCTTTGTGCCTCAGTTCCTCTCATCTGTCAACATGCTAACATCGTCTCCCTCCCAGGGCAGTTATTGGACTTGTTCACAAGGACACCAGCAGACACTGCCATGAGCCTCCCGGAGCGAACCCAGGCCTTCATGTGCGCCGTGAGGCCTCACGGTTCCTCTGCTCCTTTGTGTCTAGTTCTCCAGATAAAGGGTCCCGTTTGCATGGTTTTCACACATCATCCCTTAGCTTTCCTGACGCACTGCACCCAATATCCCACCCACAGACCTATAAAACTCAAGTGTTTGGGTTTTTTTTTATTTTAATTTTAATTTCTGCCTCTTTCCATTTTTCGTAGTATCTCTTTAGACCAGTGGTCGCCAACCAGTGGTCCGTGGACACTGGTGGTCTGTGAGGTCCGAAAGGGTGGTGACCGCTGCTATAGACCCTTTGACTATGAGGCTTTTGTGTGTATGTGTGTTTTTTTTTTTAAATTATCTGGATTAATTATTTAATTTATCAAAATAGCTTCAATACAGGGTGTCCCCCCCAAAAGATGTATACACACTTTAACAGCTGATAGCTCAATTTTGAAAATGAAATGTATTTTAATAAACGCTGCCTTTATAATTATTCAAAGTGTGTGTATATATTTTTGGGACACCATATATATTGCTAAATTTTACCAGCATTAAAAATAAAATTTTAATGTAATATTTTAAACAATAAAAAAATAAATTTTTATTGAAAGCGCCTCTTTGATTATGAGGCTTTTCCCACCCCAATAGTTCATGTAATGTGAAATAATAACCCCCTTTTTTTTTTGCTAAATAAGACAGGGATCAGTATCAATTCTATTCTCATTTTTTATTTGTATAGATTAAAGCACTCCCTCCAAAAAAAACTTACTCACATAAATAGGAAGATGGGAATATAAGTTTTGTTACAGCAACATCATCCTATTCCTGAATGCCCTCTGAGGTAATGCCGTAAATAATCATTTTTAATGATATATCTGACAACTTGAGGAGGCCCTCTTTCACTTTTTCTTCCTTCCCTCCCTCCCTCCCTCCCTCCCTCCCTCCTCTCTCTCTCTCTCTCTCTCTCTCTCTCTCTCTCTCTCTCTCTCTCTCTCTCTCTCTCTCCCTCTCTCTCTCTCCCTCTCTCTCTCTCTCTCTCTCTCTCTCTCTCTCAAAGATGCCTGAGGAAAAGCCAGCCTTCGAAAAAGATCTGTTACCCAGTCCCTCAAGTCCTTCTCAACATCAACACCATTATTTTGAATTATCCTTTTGGTGGGGCAGGGCACCATGGTTGTGTGAGGAGTAAGTCCGTGTGTTGTAAAGTGGATGAAGGGCAGTTGTGAAGGGGGAGGGAGGAGAGGATCAGTAATGGCATGTGAGAAACCCGGAAGATTGCCACATAACCAGCCGTGCCCGCTCCCTACATCTTTCTGAGCTGTTTCCTAGAGTCCACGCTGCCTGCCTGAGCCCAGGGCTCCGTCTATGTCCTCATCACCCATCTATCCTCCCTCAAGTCCTTGATTTGGCACACAGGTACACATCCTGACATATAATGCTTCTTCCCCACCACTCAGTCATATCCACTTAGTGCACACAAGGCCTCCGTGCCCTCTGCTCTGTAAAGCTCTCCATTCCATCTCACCAAACAGAAGAGGTGAGTGGCTTTGTGCATGTTTTACGGAAGGGAAAAGTGAGGGTCCGGTTATCCAAAGCACAGAGGGAGCTGTAGACTAGGAATGAGGCCAGGTTTCTCAGGTCCCTGCCCACATTCTTCCAACCTGATTTCATCCCTGCCCACTGCAAATAATAATGATTATTTAAAACACCTAGGGCACAATGTCAACCTGAGGACGAGAGGGACCAATGTACTCAGGTCATCTATTGACTGGATTTTCTTTTTTTTCTTTTTCTAATTTATTTTTGGAGACAGGAAGGGAAAGGGAGAGGGAAACATCTATGGGAGAGCAAAACATTGTTTGGCTGCCTCCTGCAAGCCCCCTATAGGAATGGAGCCTGAAACCTGGGCATGAGACCTGACCAGGAATCCAACCAGCAACATTTTGGTGCATAGGATGATGCCCAGTGGAGCCACACTGTCCAGGGCTTGACTGGGGCTTCTAAACAAATCCACCTGGATCCTTGAAGATGACCACACAGAGCAGGCTTAGGAACCTCCCAGGCTGATGAGTAAGGAAGACGGAATACAAAATCCTCAAAGAATCCGATAAGTCACAAAAGTCATCAGAAGCCAAAGAATGATGGCCAGTGCTAAATGTGCCATATAAACGGAGAGGGGCGAGAACTCACCGTGTCCCCGATCTTCAGGCCCTCACACTTCCTCTGGTTGGGGTAGGACACGCCGTCCTGGCAGGTGGCGGTGAAGAAGAGGTTAAGGTCTTCCGGCTGATCCCAGACGGACAGCTCCACCTTCGACCGGATGCTCTGAACGGAGAGAGAAGATGAGGCCCAAACCATTTAGAAATGGCCAGGATGCTCTCCGGCCACCATGGCTCTCTGATGCCCACAGGGCTTCCTCTCACTCAGCTAAGAGCCAGTGGGCTCCTTTCTCTCCACACCTCCGACGGATCTAACTAAGGTCTCCTCCGGGAGCTCGGAGATGTTGGTCATGGTCCACCTGCCACACGATATTATTATCTGCTTCCAGGAGGATGCTCCATCCCGCTTGCCTCTCCAGCCCCCTCTCATCCCACCCTGTTTCAGACATGCAGCTCCTCAAACCCTCCAATCTCGTCCTGTGCTCTCCACACTGTGGGCCTTCACACAGGAATGACATTCCTCTGCTTAGTGGTCCTCTCCTCTTTTCTCCTGGCTGGCTCCTCCTCTTCCTTCAGAATCAGGTCAGCAGGCACTTCCCCCCGTAACCATGTTCTTCTTCAGGCCCACACCCTCCCCCATCAGAGGAGAGCCGCCGGCACAATGCTGAACGACATTATCAGAGAAGAACATCTTTTGTGTGAATTATGTTCTCAAGATAGTGAATGACATGAAAATCAGCCAAGATTTCCCATCAGAATAGAAGCAAAAAAGACTGAAAACATCAAGTATCAGAAAGGTGCGGAGCACCTGAGGCCCTCACACCCAGCTGGTGGGAGTGTCAGTTGGCAGAGCCTTAGAGAAAGCCTTTTGGCTGCATCTACTCAAGTTCAGGCCAACCTTAGACCTGCCAATGCACCCAAGGGTTATATGCAACAGGGACGTGTACTAACCAGAAGATATGCACAAGAATATTTACAGCAACACTGTCCATAATAGCGACCCAAATGCCTATCCACAGAATAGGTTTCACTTTTAAATTGGGGCGTGCTCACAGCACTGAGAATGGGTGAAACATGACTACATCTCATGACACAGATGAATCTCACAAATATAACAATGCCTGAAAGAAGCCAGATACAAATGACCTATCCTATCTAATAAAGAGGTAATATGTTAATTGACCCTCAATTGTCCCAAAAAAATGGTGGCACCCAGTCAATAAGGAGGGAATATACTAATTGACTGCCACGTCCTCAAAGATGGCGGCACCCAGTCCCCTCGGCCTCCCAGCGCCCCAGCCCCCCAGGGCTGGCCCGAGGCACAGGCAAGCCTCGTAGGTGAGCTGCCCAGCCACCCAGGACCGGCCTGAAGGCTACGTGGGGGCCATGAGGGGCAACCAAGCTGGCAGGGGGGCAGTTGGGAGCAACTAGGCCGGCGGAGATGGGGGCCGATTGGGGGCAACCAGGCCAGCTGGGGTTGGGCAGTTAGGGGCAACCAGACAGGCAGCAGGTAAGTGATTAGAAGTCAGCGGTCCAGGATTGTGAAAGGGATCAGGCTGGACTGAGACCCCACTCCACACACAAATTTCGTGCACCAGGCCTCTAGTACTATATGATTCTATTTACATGAAACTCAAAACAGGCAAAAATAATGGTTGCCCCTGGGGGACAGTAATGGCGGTGGGGAAGACAGAATAGGGACTTCTGGGTGCTAATAATATTCTGTGGTGGTTTTTTTTAGCCAGGTGCTGGATACTCAGGTGTATTTAGATTGTGAAACCGTTAAACAATTTTCTGTGTCTGTTAGTTTAAAAAATTGCCATTGAAATCTCTAAAGAGGATGTCCTTTGGAGACTGAACCCAAATAAAGTAATTGGCTTAGGTTGAGGGGGCATATCTTACCCCCAGGTATTTTATGCACTCAGCACACTCTGTGTAGCAGGATGTACGCACTCCGAGAAGCTCATGGACACCTGCTGTCCAGGATCAACTGGTGGCCGGCTGACTTCTCAGGCGCATTCTGACAGAACAGTAGGCAGAACCGCCTCTTGCTCTCACAGGGTTTCCTTTCTTTCTTCTTTTCCATTTTGCTGAACACGTAAAACTTATCTGCGTTAAATATGCAGCTTCCCTAACAAATTAACAGCTGGTAAAAAAATAAAAGGGCTCATCCAGGGAAAAACTCTCTTCCTTTGCAACTGATTGTGCAAGTGCATCTACAGCTCTAAAAATACCCTGTCTGAATCCACTTCCTCTCGGAAGTGCCAGCCTGAAATGCAGAAGGTTGCGAGCGCGCCACTCCACCCCTTCCCCACCCCCCTCCTCTCCGTCTCTCCCTCCCTCCCTCTCTCTCTCTTCTGCTGCTGGAAGTGATTAGCTATTCCCACAGAGTTGTGAATTCCAAGGGCCATATGATATTTCAATTCATATGATATTGGGACTGAGCACAAGCTTTTGTTGACGGATGGGAGGATGGACAGTCTAACGGCAGCCACACTAAGGAGCTCCAGCCTACTGGAAGAAACTTAAAGCTATTTTTGAAAGACTAGGTAATTGTTTAAAATTTGTAATCGTGATTAACTTTGAGGATGAGGCAAAAGAGTATGTCATGAAAGGGCTGGGTGGACTGGAGCTGTGTAAGAAGTTATCTGGGGAGAGTTATGTTAAATATGGCCCTTGCAGCCCCGGCCAGTGTGCCTCAGTAGTTGCAGCATAGTCCTGGGCAGCAAAAAGTCTCAGGTTCAGTTCCCTGTCAGGGAACATACCCAGGTTGTAGGTTCGATTCCCAGTCAGGCAACCGATAGCTATTTCTCTCTCACATCAATGTTGTTCTCTCTCCCTCTTCTTTCCTCTCTCTCCAAATATATATACATATACATACATACATATATATATATATATATATATATATATATATATATATAAAATTAAAAATACATATATATATATATATATGTATTTATTTTTAATTTTTTTAAAGACATATGGGCCTTATGGTTCACAAACAGGATGCCGTGGGGGGGGGGGGGGGGGGTAGCACTGCTCCCCATGAAGATCTGAACCTGGAAGTGTCCGTGGAGAACTTGGTAGAGGGAGAAAGAGCACGGGACTGGGGCTCCCAGTCTATGAATCAGTAACTATAACGGGTGGGAGCTGAATTCCTATAGTCTCCTCTGGCCATAAGACCCCAAAGTTTTGTGTTTGGATCTGAACTTTATGCTATTCCTGCTTGCTACACACTCCCTAAAACTGGAAACTCTCAGGATGTCAGAGGGTCAGGAATCATGGAGACTATTTAGTTCGAACCTCTCTTTCTATGGAAGTGCAGGCCCAAGAGAAGGGCTCCTCCAGGGTCAGCTGCTGCCCGAGGCAGGAGGACCAGGCCGGGGCCAGCCTCTGGTACCCGGACTTCTTTCCTTTAAAGCTGGCTCTGGCTGTGAAGAGTGTGGATGGTCCGGTTGCATTCTGCTTGTAAAGGTCAGTCTCCCCTAAAGGACTATGAAATCCCAGAGGGCAGGCCTGTGTTCTGTTCAGGTTTATTCCCAAGGCCTGGCACATGCCTGCCAGCTGTTGGCATGTATTTGCTGAATGAATGGATGCATGAATGAACAGAAAACAAGACGCAGTGGAAGGCCAAAGCCACAGGCAAAGCAGTTCTTCCACATGAAGACGTAGGTGTGACTCTTGACATCCGACAACCCCCCACCAGTTCTGCCCCTGAAGAGGGTTCCTTCTCCTCCTCAGAGGAGGAAGCAATGTCGAGGGCGTCAGAAGTTTGATGGCTGTTCAGCGCTCGGTCAGCCCAGGGCACATCTGCAACTGCTTTAAGTCAGGCAGCTGTGGTGTGGGTGGGAGCAGACTTTATGGCAACAGCAAAAAGAGAAACATGTGCTCGGCGAGGAGCAGCTTACACCACGGCTCTGACGTCACCCTCCACATGAGACGGCAGTGGTTTCCAGCTCCCTCTGCTCTTGCCCCCTCAGAGAGGAGGCCACAGCGATCGCTCCCGGCATCCTGTCTCCCCTTTCTCCGTGCGACACGAGCAGGTGCCGTGTGTGCGCGGCCAGGGCCCTCGGAGCGCGGGAGGGGCCTATCACCAGCTCCACATCGCTGAACACCCTCACCCTCCGGGGACTTGGGGGTCTCTCTCAAGGAAGAACTGGGCACAGCAAGGACACATGTACAAATCAAAGCCGAGAGCTGACTATTTCTCACTATGAAAATTGCATATGACAGACTGGATTCTGCAAGATATTAGATTAAACATGCCCTTCTCATTTTGCTCCCTCCGCAGTCGAGCTAAATGCCACAGCTATTCCATCTGTTACATACGTTCCCACCAAAATCTTTCCAGAATGTCCCCACAGACGGTTTGCCAGCAACTCTCAGGGGTAAAAGTCAACACCCGTGCTTAGTCATGGCTGCATGACTCACTGGAAATGCACCACAAGCCGCTGAGGCAGAACGGTGGCACAGGGCAATGCAAACAGGCCGGTGAGAGCTGGGCTTGGACCCTGGCCAGAGAGAGGAGCAGGGGAGAGGGTAGCCAGGGCTAACTGGGGACTCTAGTGAGGACAAAGCCACAGCCACAGCCACCGCCACAGCCACCATACATACATCCCTCCCCCACACACACACCATACACCTCCCCACCTCTACCCCACATACCCATCATATACACACCACACACATATCGCACAAACATACACCCCCCAACACACATACACTCCCATACACCATACACACACTACAGACATACACACCACACACACCACACAAACATACACACCCACACACACATACATCCCCATACACGTACTACAGACACACCACATACACACCACAAACACCACCCCACATACCATACACACACTACAAACATACATGCCACACATACTATACACCCCTCACATACCATACACACAATACAGAAGTACACACCACACACATACCACACAAACATACACCCACACACACATACACTCCCATACACATACTACAGACACACCACACACATACCTAACACCGCCCCACATACCATACACACACTACAAACATACATGCCACACAAACACCCCCCACACACATACAACCCAGACCATACAGACATGCATGACATATACATACCATACATACAACCACACACACCATACACACCACATACATCATAAACCCCAAAACATACCCCCATCATACACAACCCCCCACACCCCTACCACATATCCTAGATACACACACTACCACCCCTGCCTTTCCAAACATACACACACACACACACACACACACACACACACACTGCACGCACCGCAGCAGAGGCCAGTGCCAGGCTCAGCCCCAGGAGAAGCGCTAAACAGTCCATGGGCTTCCCGCGTGCCAGAAACACTGGCAACAGGAAACAGGCACTAAGTCAGCGTTGAGCACCAGCACACCCACCACGGCCTCCAACACCGGGGTTTGCTCCGGTTCCCTGCCATTTCACATCTCCATACTGAATATCTAACCTTAAAGTCCCACTGCAGGGGCGGGGGCAGACGGAGGGGACCGCCACACGGCCACCTGTGCACAGTGAGGTCTGCTCCGCGTCTTCGCGGCAGTGACAGTTTGCAGGCAGGTACGTACGTACGTACGTGTGTCACAACGTACACGGCACACTTCACAGCTGTACCGCTTACCACGTGTTCACTGTCTCCCAGTGAAGCTGCTCTACCACCGCCCGCTGACTCTGACCAGTCATTGTGGATCGCATGCCAGAACTGCCCATTTGGAAAAAGAAGGTGCGTTTCAAATGTCCACTCAACCACTGCAGGTCTCATTGCCTAACGCGTTCTCTTTGAGCAGCCGGTTTGGCTCAGACTCAAGTTACAGAGCGAGGCTCCCACCATTCCTCAGCAGGTTCCCCCAGGCCACACGCCGCTCCCCGAGTTCTCTATTCATCCCGTATCGGTGCCTCATCGGCCTTCCCAATCCTCTCCTGACCCCGCCCCCACAGACAGCACGCTTCCCCAGGTTCCCGGATTTCTGTAAAGAACACAAACTCGTTTCTCATGATCCTGCTCAGAGCCAACGCAACGTGGCTCAGAGAGAGAACACTGCGGCTCGCGCAGCTCCCACCCAGGGGGTTGGGGGGTTGCAACAATGCCGTGCTCCCGTTTTCAGCAGCCCTACCTCCCCTCCTCTCTGCCCTCCCCCCAGGGAAGTGGCGGGCACAGGTTCTTATGCTGGGAGGCACTAGCATGCTCTCAGCTGTCCTCTCATATATGTGATGCTGCAGTGTGGATAGTTTTATAGGCAGGTACGTGTGTCAGAACTTAAACTGTACACCTTACATTTGTACAGTTTATTGTGTGCTCATTGTCTCCCCATAAAGCTGCTTTAAACTGTCCACCGAATTCGACTAGTCATTGTTGATTGTATTCCACACAGCGCTGACTGAGCAGAATGTCTTCCATTTCTGGCGAACACCACCCGCCAGGACTGTGGGCCTGGGTGTCCTTATGCCCTCCTTCATCAAAGGCAGGAGCTGGGAGTCTGAACCTTCACCGGGAAATGCCCTCAGGGGCTGACTCAGGAGCTGGGAACGGACATGCTGGGAGGTGGCTCCTCCCCAGCAGCTCGGAGAACATCCTCAGCGCACCCCAGAGCTTGAGATGTGGTTGCTCTTCAGCCATTGCTCCCCCAAAGGCCCTAGCTCAGCGGGAGGCAAGCTGTGGTTGCCCCACCAGTGAGAGCAGGTCTAACAGCAGCCCCCTCCCGACCCCAGGAGGATGGGGACAACAACCCAGGCTATGGTTCCAGCTCTTGCACTGACTTTTTTTTTTAATCTTCACCCAAGGACACACTCATTGATTTCAGAGAGAGAGGAAGGGAGAGAGAGAAAAACATTGATGCGCCCAGCCTGGGTCCAAACCCACAATCTAGGCATGTGCTCTGACTGGGAATCGAACCAGCAACCTTCTAGGGCAGGGGATGAAGCTCGCTGGCTAGGGCGCACTCTGACTTCCTCAGTCCAGTGCCCAGAGCTTGTTCCCAGAGGTTCACAGCGAGGCATGCGCCTCGAAAAGAGGACAACAAACAGCAGCCCAGGCCCCCTCCTTCCTGCACACGCTCTCTTCTCAAATACGCTCTCAGTTTACTACATTTCCATTCACCGTGGAAATGTGAAAGCCACTGAGCATAACGCTAACCTGGAAACCCTGTCTTACTGGGCTCTTGGTTCTGAGGTGACAAACGGATCCAGTGAATGTTTGGAGGTCAGAGATCAGAAGAGAGGATGTTAGTATGTGGGGAGGGGGGTACGAGAGGAGAAGGAAGTCTTCAGTTTCTCTCAACAGGGAGGAGTGAGGAGGAATCGGAGAATTTGTGGAGAAGAGGACCCTTAGCTGCAACAGAAGTTAGCGGTGGCAGAAGAGAAAGACCGGCCACAAACCCTTGCTGCCCCCCAACTCACATCAAAGCTCCAGGAGCTCAAGGGAGGGCTGTTTAGCCCCCACCCCTCCTTGCCAAGCTCCACGGCTCCTCCAGCAGCAGTGGCGAGGGGACCCCGATGGCTCTGGTCACTCAGAAAAGGGCTGGAGCGGTAGACTGAAAAGTCAACACTGGGAACGGCTGAGCTCCAAATGCTCATCTGTAAATCAGCCGAGGCTGGAAAGATGGTTCATGCCATACACGTGACGCCACAGTGGCTAACTGGTCTCCCAGAACTAATGGTGGTGCTTAAACTATATTTACTCTATGTATAACTCTGCTTTAAACAGAAGATACACTCTGAATCCTGCTTGGGAATTACTGGCCCTGTGAAGGACAAGGCGCGCACTGGGAGCTTTGCAGGGAGAGGACAGCTGAGAGCACGTTAGTGCTCCTAGCACAAGAACCTGTGCCCACCACTTTCCTTGGGGGGGAGGAGGGAGGGAGGTCTGCCCAGCCAGCGTGGCTCAGTGGTTGAAGTATCGGGTCTAGTAATAATTAATGTCGTTTTTAAACATTCGTTTAAAATCTTGCTTGGCGTTGACTTGTATTGACATAACCTTCAAACACGTGGTATCTACAGAACGTGTGAAGTGCAATTAACAAGTTTTGCTTGAAAAAGTTTGTGTTTGGTTTGGTTTTTGTTGCAAAACTAGGGCTAAGAAGATGGCGGATGAAGAGCATATTCGGCACTGCATGCTTTACGAGTTCCAATTAGGAAGAAAAGCAAGTGAGGCTGCAAAAAACATCTGTAGTGCTCTTGGTCAAGATGCAGTTAGCGCCAGAAAATGCCAGCGTTGGTTTGAGAAATTTCGCGAGGGAAATTTTTCGTTAGATGACAAGAGTGGTCGAGGCCGTGTGTCCAATTTTGATCAAGAAGCTCTTCAAGCTCTTTTGGTGCAAAATCCTCAAATTACCCAACAAGAGCTTGCGACAACTTTAAATTGTTCACAAAAAACAATTTCCAATCAATTGCGTGCACTTGGCAAAGTCCAGAAGTTTGGAAAATGGGTTCCTCATGAGTTGACCGACAACAACCGTAATCAAAGAGTCACAATTTGCAGTTCGCTCCTCTCTCGTCAAAACCGTTTGCCGTTTTTAGAGCAAATTGTTACCGGAGATGAAGAATGGGTGCTGTATGTTAATTTGAAAAGGCGGCCTCAATGGTTGGACAAAAATGAGGCTCCGCAGCCCACGCCAAAACCTGACTTGCATGCGAAAAAAGTGATGTTGTGTGTTTGGTGGAATTTTAAAGGAATTCTTCATTATGAACTTTTACCATCTACCCAAACCATTACAAGTGCAGTGTATAGTGCCCAATTGGAAAGGTTAGCCCAAGCTTTAAGAGAAAAAGAACCCGTGCTGATTAATCGAAAGGGCGTAATTCTTCACCACGATAACGCACGACCGCATACTGCAAGAATCACTGCTGAAAAACTGCGTCAGTTGGAATGGGAAGTTCTCCCTCAACCTGCATATTCTCCTGATATTGCCCCTTCCGATTACCATTTGTTTCGTTCTTTGCAAAACTTTCTTCTTGGAAAAAAATTTAATAATGAAGAATGCCTCAAAAATGCAATGACCGAATTTTTTGCATCAAAATCACAAGAATTTTACAACAGAGGGATTAAAATGCTTCCTGAGCATTGGGCACAAGTAGTAGAAAACAACGGCAACTATATTGTTGATTAAATTTTGTTGTATTGTTTAAATAAATTCGATTTTAAAAAGTATTAGAAAACGACATTAATTATTACTAGACCTAATATCAACCTATGAACCAGGAGGTCACGGTTCGATTCCCAGTCAAGACACATGTCCAGTTTGCAGGCTCGATCCCCAATAGGGGGTGAGCATCCACAGCTCACAGGGACCCGCTGATGGTGAGAGTCAGGTTGGCAGAGAGGAGGGGAGGGGAGGGGAGGGGAAGGAAGAAGAAGCTTCAAGCCGGATGGCCTTCTCCACCCCGAATCTGAGCAACGGAGGAAGGCACCAACTCAAGAGGCAAGAGGCAGGAAGCAGAGCCAAGTGCGCCAGCGTGGTGCGCCGCCCACTGAGGCCGGGCAGCTCCCTCCTGAAGCCTCAGGGGAAGAGGTGGGTGGGGGTGGAGGTGGGGATCAGGAAGAAGCTGGTGACTTACACTGTACGCATTGACGATCAGTTGAATAATATTTTTAGAGTCTCCGTGTAAAATCTCCACCGTTGTTCCAGGTATCAGGGCTGTAAAATTCTTGGGGAGAAGGGGAAGAGGAGAAACAAGAAGTCAGCCTATCTGCCCTTCCATGCTGCCAGAGAGGGAGCCCTGCTCTGGAATGTAAGGGGCCCCCACACTGACCTGCCCCTCCCTCACACCACTCGCCAGAGAGGCGGCCACAGGAGGTGGAGGGAGCCAGCACAGGGCCACAGGCATTGCCACAGGCCGTGCCACACCCACTCCTGAAGGTCCAGACCGGTTCCTGCAGTGCCAGCCATGCTCCTTCTTGGAGACCCCTTCCCTGGCAGGTATGGGACAAGGCTGCAAGGCCCTCCTCCGAGGCCAGCACATTCCACCCATTTCCTGCCAGCTCTGCCCTAGTCTATTCCCAGGATCAGCTCAAGGAGGCCCTCAATCTGCTTGGCCTCTTTCCCTAACAGGGGCCAGAGCTGTGAACGGTGGCCCCTGGGGATCTCTGGGTGAGGTCCCGCCACAAAGCAGAAGCAGGCGGCCTTGAAGCGGTTGCCTTTTCTCTTCCGGTTGTGCTAACACCCAGTGTGCCACTTATTAAAGTGACAGGAACATCCAGAACCACCCTCCGCCCGCAGCCTGTCCTGGGCGCCTCCCTGAGCAAGGACGGCTTGGCCCAGGGGGATGCCTTCCCTCGGGGGCACCTGAGAGCACACGCAGCGCTGTCTCAGCGCCTGATCCTCTAAACACGCTATTCCTGGGTGGATACGTGCTATCCTGCTCCCGTCCTCGAAACGAAAAGGAAAAAACAATCCTTTCCCTCGATTTCGTCTTCTGAAATGGATTCAGACTCAGAGAAGATAAAGAGCTCAAGAACGTGGCCTTTCGCCGGCAGTAACCTCAGGCAGGAGCAGGAGATAAACGCAACTGGACAAAGGCTCCTGGTGGCATTCGGAGCGGGAAGGAGAAGGGACCAGGGCCGGCTGCTTCTGGGGTGGGGATGAGGGCCCCACAGCCTCTCCATTCCAAGGAAGTCGGAGGCGAGCTGGGCTTACGTTGAGCTTTGAGGCGCTCCCTGAGCAGCTTGGGGTGTGTGTGTGTGTGGGTGTGTGTGGGTGTGAGTGCTAGTCCCCCGTGTGCCTGTGACGGTGGGAAAAGGCACGCACACCAGGGGAGTGACTGTGATGGTCCACGGGGTGACCTGGAAACAGTCTCTTTTAGCCATAACAGATTCACACACACAGACTGCTCTGTTTCCTCAAGACCTTCCTGGTTTCCTTTTAAGCCACCGATGCCCCGGACTCTGTTGCAGAAAAACCCAGGAGTACTGGGGCTAGTGACTAGCCTGCTCCGATGTCTGTGGTTTTCTTCTGTGCATGTCCACTGTGTGTTGTCTTTCCCATCAGAGTGCCACCCCCAACCCCATGTGTTTCCATGTCATCATCTGAGAAGTGAGAATTCACACTTCCTAAGTTTTCCTCAAGATTAAATGAGACACCACATGTTTACATCCCTTGTAAAGGTATACACCGCTGGGAAAATTGCTTTCATACTGATATTTCCCTCGAGACCAAGACAGGGCTATAACCCATCCCTCCTCCGGCCCTCCCCACACACAGAGTAGGGCTGTCAACGCTCCTCCCCCCACATTCTAGTCCCCCATTTACTTTGGGGTCAGCATGGCCCCCAGAATTAGGACACCGGTTTTCCTCCCTCCCTCCCTCCCTCCCTCCAGGTGTACCTTGTAGAGCCCATAGTGGTTTTTCGTCACTGCAAAGATGAGGTTGATGTTGTTCTCCGCCAACTTCTCTCCCAGCAAGGCGAGGGATGGGTAGTCCTAGGTCCAACGCAAAAGTCAAGCTGTGACACTTCCAGCAGGCTGAGACTCTGCCAGCTCCAACGTGCTCTCAGTCACTCACTGCTGCCATGACAAGCATCTACTGCTGGCAGCCCCTCCCCTACCCAGCCCCAGCCCCCCCACCACCACCACCCAGCCCCAGCCTGGGCTTCCCCTGAGGACAGGTGCAGAGGAGACCCTCCAGGAAACTAGATCCCTCCCCCACCCAGAATGGGGAGGTGATGAATGGTGGGTTCACATACTGGCCCGTATTCCCAGCCTTTCCGCAGGGAAGGGGCGGAGTTGGGAGGCCCCCAAAGAACAGCCTCCACACCCTGCCATCTACCATCGGCACCTATCACCTCTCCTCTGTCCCCGAGAACTTTCCTCTCGACCTCCCTGCCTCATGTTCCTTACGGTAGGCCTCACGCCGGGGCCTGCCAGGGCCCCCCATAGTCCTGCCAGGTCCTGCTCATGGCTCAGAAAGGCAGAGAGGCTGCGGAGCCCTGCACCAAAGTTGGGCCATGGCGGGGGCGGGGGCAAGGGGTGGGATACAAGCCCGGAGGGTGGGAAGAGGCTGAGAGGCCCTTTAACAATGTCCTGAAGGATTTTAAGGGCTAATGATGGGCACAGGGGCCCATTTCAGCTCCACGGTTACCAGGTTCTACAGCGAGGAGTCCTTTTCCTAGACTCCATTGTCCGTGGATACTATGGAAGGCTTGGACACTGGCCACCTCGTGAAACTGGAGAACATGGGCTCGTCCAGCAAAGAAAATCAGAAAGAATTCCTTTCCGGCCAGATGCCAGAATGGATTCGGGAAGGAAGAAGGTATAGGTTTGTTATTATTTGTTTAATTGAACAGTAATTTAATTGAACAGGTCTTGGTAATTGTTGGGACCAGGGGATGGGAATTCATTTCGCTGGTCTATCGATCATTATCCATGTTTGGAGTTTTACGTAAGTTCCTTTAAATTACGGGGCCCTGGTCGTAGATCACTGGGAGTGGAAAGTCCCTGGGGCCTCCCATTCCACTCAGAACGCCCTCTGCCCCCTCCTGACACCGATGGAGCCCAGTGCTAGGAGCTCACTCCTGGAGTCAGGAAGCTTTGGCCTGGTGTGTCCTGTAACTTCTTATCTCTGCAGGAGCACAGGCCCCGCCCTCCTCTAAGATCACCTCCCCCCTGGAGCTTATCCTGTCTCCCCAGATCACCCCTTCCCTGGGGGGAAACACTCCCACTTCAGTGCACAATGACTGAAAGGAGCCACGGGCAGGAAGTGCTCCCAGTCAAAGAGGAGTTCTGGAAGCCCAGATGGAGAAGGTGGACTACGGAAACCCAATCCCAACCAAGGACAGGAATGTCACCGCAGGGACCCCAGGCAAGGTCCCGGGCGGCGCTGGGGCCCAGCCCTCACCATCTGGTTAGATGCAGAGTACTCATTGGCCTCGTTCAGGTGGCACTGGCCATCGTGTGGCTGCACCAGGCCCCCCAGTTTCCCGTCCAGTGCGATGTGGGGCACGTCGTCCGTGGTGAAGACCAGCAGGTGCAGGGCGTCCTTCCGCCAGCCGATCTTCTCCTGAGGGGAGCAGAGGGTGCGTGGGTGCAAAGTCTCTCTGGGCCTCCCCACGCCTTCCCGGAGCTCCAACAAGGCACTGGCCCGTCTCCAGGGGGTTTTGGTCTGAATCAGAGGCACTCCCCCGTGTACTGGGGACACTGTTAACCACCAGATGGGAACCCACAGAGTTCAGAAGAGACACAGCCTGGACTGGGAGCCCTAAATGATGGAGACAGATTTCCCAGGCGTGGCTCACCGAGGCCCAGGTGCCTCCAGCCCAGCACACTCCTCCCTGCCCCTTTCAGTTCCCTCCCGGGGCTGCGACCCCTTCTAGACTCACCTGCTATTCTTCCCCCAGAACAGCCTTCCTCCCAACTCTCACAGCACACTTGGGCTGGCTGGCTTGTCTGAGATGACGAGGAAGTCAATACCTCAGTTCCCAAATTAGACTGAATCGCTCAGAATGAAGTGTTCAAATGACCAACAGGCAGATCTGCCGTTACGACTATTTGGTAAGATGGGCCAGCCCTCCATGCCAGCAGGTGTAAACCACTCCCATCACCAGCAGGACCCACTCTGGTGTTTAGTTTCCCCTTTGCTGCTTCACTATAGGGAATACGCCCATGCTTCAGCCAAAGGCACGCGCTCAGTGCCGTCCACATTGTGATGGGGACTCTGCTTCTCATATTTAGCCATTTGCAGCCCCAACGCTACACAAAAATACTCCCACTCATTCTTGGGAGCAGCTAGACCCTGACACAGAGAAATAAAAACTGAGGTAAGGTTGCTGTCTTACTAATCTGCCTTATCTAAACGAAAGGGCATCCCAAAATACATTGGTATGAAGGATTTAAACACTGTTGACACTGGATACCGAAATGAGGACTGGATTCAGGGACTTGATAATGAAAAGCTATTGCTCTTACAGCAGCTAAGAGGTTGAGGGTTTCTTCCTCTCTGTCTTTTCACCTTAATGATGGATAAAAACAGCCTTCAAGAGCTGTGATGTTTTCTCACTTGCTCCGAAAGCAGCATGAAAATAAAAAAAAATTTTACATCACAGAAAGTCAGAGTAACATGAGAGAGAAAAGGGGTTTGAAAAAAAGATGAGTGAGGACAGAAAGCCAGGAGGCCCTTCTGGTGGTGAACACAGAGACACCGGGCAGTGTACCTGTACAATGGGACACTACTCAGCTGTGAGAGAAGCAAACGACCGAGACACAACAGGCTGGATGAATCTCAGAAGCATGTCCGTAAAATAGGAATAATAATACCTAACATTTATTGATCACCTCCGTTATTCCATTAATCTTCACTGCAACCCTTGTGAGGAAACTGGCATTTAGAGACATTAAGTACCGTATTTTCTGGCGTATAAGACGACCCCCTAGTTTTACGGTGACTGACTGGGATGATAAGAGGTTTTTCTAGGCAGAGGAGCATTGTGAGCTTAAAATCCTTCAAAATCCTCATCATGTTCTTCTTCTGACATCATAAGTTCATCAATGACCTCTTGTGGGACATTTGTAAGACAGTCATCATATGGTCGTCTTATACGCCGAAAAATACGGTATCTAGCCCAAGGCACTGAACCATCAAGGAGCCAGAGGCAGATTGCTTACCTCTTACCCACAAAGCTGAACTACCCAATCACAGAGGGAGAGAAGAGAGATGAGTGTGTGTGAGTGTGTGTGTGTGTGTGTGTGTGCGCGCGCGCGCGTGTTATAAATGTGACAATTCATAAAAGTACATGATAGGCTCTCCATCAATGGCTGCCAGAACCCACGTTCGATGCTTGTTGGATTTAAAGGTTGAATCTGAGATGGAAATAGCTCCACAGATGAAGAGTGGCCCAGCATAACAATCATAAATCCTGTTTTCTCCAAAGTGCCTGGTTATGTAAGTGATGTGAACAAACTGGGCCCAGGCTTGGACGGCACAGAATGAGTCAGGGCAGGCTTATTTTTTCGGCCAGGCTTTGCGGCTTGGAGCTTTCACAAGTGGTGACTCCACAAAGAATTTACATTCAAAATAATTTTCCTACTGACTGCCAGGTCAGCAGAGCTATCTGTTTTCAAGTCTTAAGTTCTGTATTCCATGTTTGGGCAGAGGGTAATAGTGGAAAAACACATTTTTATTTTTTTTAAAAAGGAAAACACATTAAAAAATGAAGTACGGCACAGAGGCCAGAGCATGTGGGCTCTGGAACAGATGAGGCCGAGTTCAGCCTTTGTTCCGCTCTAATTGCAAGGCCCCGACTCAGCCTCCTCACCTCTCAAAGCCTTCAGTCCTGTCACCTGAAACATGGAGACAATCCCACTTTGCAAGGTTCATGCTAGAGTTAGACATAATGCATTTAAAAGTACTTAGGACATAAAAAGAACTAAGAAAGAACTGTAATAATTACTCTAAGCCTAGTAATAATTCTCACATGTCTTCACTTCGTTTACTATTGATATGTGAGGCTCCAATTGTCACAAGGACTGTGAGTATTGCATAGCAAAGAGCTCATTAAAACCACAAGATTCCGCCACACCTAAAAGAATGGCTAAAATTAAAAAGGCGGAATGGGTGACGCAGAGGAGGGTCCAAAGGTACAAACTCCCAGCTATAAAATAAACAAGCCGGAGATTTAAGGAACAGCATGTAACTACAGTTCACAATATTGTGTTGCATAATTGAAAGTCGCCAGGAGAGTAGCTGTTACAGTTCTCACCACCAAAAGAAATTGTAACTGTGTGATGGATGGGTGATGGATTTATTAAGGTGATCATTTAGCGATATAATATATACAAATATTGAATCATTACACTGTACTGCTGAAACTAATACAGTGTTACGTCAATTACCGTATTTTTCGGACCGTAAGACGCACTTTTTCCCCCCCAGAAGTGGGGGGAAAAGTCCCTGCGTCTTATGGTCCAAATATAGCCTACACATATACTTTAAAAAAAAAGTTTCTTTACTTGCCCGGCTCTGTGTGGTCTCTGTGTGCTTGCCCGGCTCTAAAATGGTTCTAAATGCTGCTGTTTACTTTACAGGGTTGATTACATGTGTTTATGACTGTGATGTTGGGTTTTAACGCACATAAAATATTTTAGGACACTATTTGTTTCAGAATCTTTTTTTCTTCATTTCCCTTCTCTAAAAACTGGTGCGTCTTATGGTCCGGAGCGTCTTATGGTCCGAAAAATACGGTATATCTCACTTTTAAAAAGATAAAAAAGACTAATCACACCAAATGCTGATGGAGATGTGGAGGAGATGGAATTACCACGCACTGCCAGGAGGGATGGGAAATGGCACACGTCGCCTTGGAAAACTGGCCGTTACTTGAAAAGTGAAGCACCTACCACATGACCCAGCCTTCCCACTCCCAAGCACAGGCCTATGAGAAATGGAAGCACACATCCAGAGACTCGAACGGACACAGGCATAGCAGCTCTCTTTATGATGAGCAAAAACTGTAAGTACCCAAAACAACCCAAATGTCCAGATGGAGAAACGAACTGTGGAACATCCCTACAATGTGATACTACTCAGGAACAGAGGGAATGAATGCAGACACTCCACAGCACAGACTAATCTCAAAATAATTGTGCTAAGTGAAATAAGCCAGGCCAGAAAAAGAGTCGATACTGCATTTGAAAATTTTAGCAAATGCAAACTAATGTATAGTGACAGAAAGCAGGTTAGTAGCTGCCTAGGGTAAGGGTATAGGAGGTGCAGGAAGGAGAAATGGTATGTTCATTGTCTTGACTGTGGTATCTATCTATCTATCTATCTATCATCTATCTATCTATCTATCTATGGATATATATATCTCACAGGTGTGTATGTATGTCATATATGTGTCAACATTTCCAAACTGTACACTTTCAATATGGGTAATAAATCCATTATACCTCGATAAAGCTGTGGGTGTGTGTGTGTGTGTGTGTGTGTGTGTGTGTGTGTGAAGGCTTGGTTTGCTCAGAGAGCTGTTTAAATACAACAAATCACATGAATAGACTGAGATAAGTAATGGGCTGGGAAAATCACTCATTTTTGTTCTGGGGCAGCATCCACATAGCAGTCAGGGGCTGGGCTCAGACATCTGGCAAACGCAGTTCAGCCCACATCTGCCTCGGCTTGTCCTTATGATCTTAATGATCCTCGGCCAGTTACTCAATCTCTCCCAGCTTCAGCTTCTCAGCTCTAAGGAGCAGATGACAAGAGTACCCATAAAATAGGGCTGTCTGGAGGGTTAAACAAAATGAATTAAAAGAGCACCCAGCTCAGCACCTGTGCATGTTAAGTAAACAGTCAAGAACGACAGGTTTGGCCCTCGGTATTGGAAATCTATGATCTGAGGCTGCAGTCCAGAAGCACACAATCTTAAATCTTATCTTTGGGGTGCAGGGTTATGGGTGATGTTTATGCCCTTTCTACGTACCAGCATTTTCAAAGTTTTAGATTAACTATATTCTCTTTTTATAGAAACAATTTTAAGACAAAATATTTTAAAGACCTAAACTTTTCTCCATGCCTCTGATTAAAAACAAGAATTTTAAAGGCCAGTTTAATTCAACATGATAGAGGTCAGTCTTAGATGAAAATGTCAGAGGTAGGCAGGACAGAAACCCACTGGACTCAAGTCTGGCCAATTCACTCATTCTCTCTTTGTTCACTGGCCACATCTGCATCAGATTCACCACAAGGTCTGTGTCAGCCTTCAGACACGCACTTTCTACACTTGCTCCAGGAGGTGACTCCGCTTTTTCCGTCACCAACACAGAGGAAGGTAACAGCACTTGCCTCTTGCCTATTCTGGGCTCTCACAGCATCTGGCTCCACAATCCTGGTTGCCTCGTAAATACCGGGGCTGCCTCCTGGCATCTCCTCCGATCTCACTGAAAGAGGCTCCCTCCGCTCCTCCCTCCACCAGGAAACGCAGCCACTGGATTCCCACCTTCTTTAGAGAATGTGTACGGTGGTCATTCTCTCTGCTTCCTTTCCTTGTGCCAAAAATCTTCTCATAA